TGCCCTCACTTGGCTGATGACCGCAAAGAGTTGCTTTTGGAGGTTGTTTAATAGTTCTGCCATCAATAAGAGCATGCAATTACATTGAGAAATTTATAGCCAATGCAAGGATGGGACTATTTGGAAATCCAGCGCGTGAGAACGAAGATGTGTGTGTGCCTGGGTGAAGGCATTGACTACCGCTTGCAAGTGCTAGGTGGCTGGTGATCCCCTTGGCCCATGTCTGGGGAGATGGCTGCACAAGGGGCCACCAAGCAGCCCCTGTCCATTGTGGAATCACAAGAGTGATCTTTGCGTGGGTGCGTTGCGCGTGCCGAAGGGTTGCTGGGATGAGGTGGGGGGGTGGGAACGCAAAACCGTGCTCTCCCCTCCAATCCGTCGAGAATGCGTTGACCGCTTCAGCCTTGGGATGGGGCAGCTTCGAGCAAAAGCGAGGTAACAACGCGTTGCGAGCGTTTGCGAATAGGTCGATGGAGTGGGGCCCCCAACGACGTTCAAGGAGGCAAAACTACGGTTGTTTCAGAGTGTAGTCATCATGGTCTTGCAGCTTGGAGAGCTCGTCCGCATGGGTGTTCAACTCGCCAAGCGAACCGAGTATTCCGTACAAAGAGAGATGATTTCTTTGCAGGTGAGGGTGAGCTTGGTGGTGCTTGAGCCGCCCTTGCGTAGGATGAACATGACGCCTTGATTGTCGACACGGACTAGGGTGTGGCCACCCTGGATCTGATGCATGAAGGTGCGTAGTGACCACAAAACACCTTCCAGCTCCCGCCGGGTGCTGGATGTGGGTGGCAAGTGTGAGGGCATGCTTGCGCTTGCTGTGCTCCTCTCTCCGCGGAATGTGACGAGTGTGGCGCCCCAACTGTGTGCGCTAGCATCCACCTGGATGACCGCATCGTAATGGTGCGGTTGATGGAACGGGGCACCATTGAACTTGTCGAATTGCTCCATCCAGAAGCCCAGTTTGTCAATTGCCTCTGATGATAGCGATATCCGGGAGTTCCATGATGGTGCGGTGTTGATGGTTTGGAGCAGCTCGTGGCTGAAGGCTCGTGTAGTTGCTCCCAGAGCGAGGCTCATTGATGCGAGCATGCCGGTGACTCGGGCGACGTGGCGGATGTGTACTTGGCGACCTCTACGCCCCTCGGTAATGAGCGTCGCCATTGTGGATTTTAGTTGAGATCGACGTTCGTCTCCCACCGAGAATGTGCAGCTTCGAGTGTCCAGCTCGAGGCCAAGGAAGCCGAGTGCTTGGGTGGGGAGCAGCTGGGACTTCTTCTTGTTGATCACTAGACCAGAGTCCTTTAGGTCTTGCACGATCATGGTGCATGTCGTTTGGGCTTGTTGGGCTGACTCGGATAGCACTAAGATGTCGTCGGCGTATGGGATCACTCGCCATCCACGTGCACGCCATCGTCGAGCGAGCTGCTTGATAATTTGGGTAAATACGAACGGGGTTGTGGCCAACCCGAATGGTAAGGAGCGGAAGTAGTAATATGCTCCGTCGAACTAGAAGCCAAGGTATCGCCAGCAAGTTGGGTGTATGTCCACATGGTGATACCCCGATTTGAGGTCGACGGAGAACATCCAATCGTTCGGCTTGATCAACTCTGCCACGCGAAGCAGTCCTTCGTATTTGAACTTGGGCACCTGCTTTCCGGCCTCCCCTTGCAGAGTGACGGTGCCGCGGCCCAGGACGTCCTGCAGCGCCCCATTGAAGCCGCGCACGTGCTTGATGGAGCCGCTCGGCTGTAGGTCGACGAAGACTTCCTTCGTCCCCATCAGGTGGTGGGAGCAGCCGATGTCGAGCAAGACCACTGCCGGGTTCGCCTGCACAGCTGCCGCCACCGCCTGGAAGTCCTCTCCGGCCTCTGGCGCCAGCGAGACAGTCGGCTCCACGACGCCGACCAGCGAGCACGACACCGTCTTGTCGTCCCGTGCCCTGCCGCCAGCAGAGGAGTCGGCGTCCTTCGCCGAGGTCGACTTGGTCGACTGCGTCTCCTTGCGCGGCTTGTTCCCTCCTCGATGAAGACGACGTCTGCCAGACCTCCCGCGGCCTCCCTTGGCGTCGTCGTCGTCTGAGTCACTACGGTCGGGGCACTCGAAGGAGAGGTGGTCGGGGTCGCCGCACAGCTAGCACTCCCGACGTCGGCCTCCTCCTCCACGACCGCTGTCCTTGGTCGACTTTCTCTTGTCGACTTCCTTGGCCGACTTCCAGCCACTGCTACCACCGCCGCCAGACTGTCCACGCTGCCCCGGTCGGCCTCCTTGCTTTGCCGGGGCAACGAAGTTTGTCTGCGCCAAGAGCTCCTGTGACCGCTCTGCCTCCTGCATCGCCTCGTCATGCAGGATGTACGAGGTCAAGTTGTCCTCGTTGAGCGTCGACCTCGTGCTCGGCGCCATTGATAGCCGCTTCAGGAGGTTGTAGCTGCTCGAGAGTCCCTGCATTATGCGGGTGACGTACGACACCGTCGAGTACTGTGCACCAGCCATCCTGATGGTGGCGAGAATTCGCCGGGCTCGGTTGCAGTAGTCGGTCGCCGTCTCCTCGTTGCCCATACGCAGGTGCGTTAGTTGTACCTCCAGCTGGGCGATGAACAAGTCATCGGTGACTTGGTAGGTCGACTCGATGAAGTGCCACGCCCGGTGGCCAGCGTCAATGTACTCTCGGCACCACTTCAAGGCGATCTGCACGCCCGATAAGCAGCACCACAAGATGGCCGTGAAGGTCAACAGCTGCACGGCGCGAAACTCGGCCCGCAACTCGAGATGGTGCTCATCCGGCGTCGCCACGGTCCCTCGGGCGAAGCCGATCAGCCCGGCCATCTCCAGCTGGGGCTCGATGGCTTCCTTCCAGGTGAGTATGTCGGGTCGACCAACAAGCGGCGGGGTGACTAGGATCCTGGCCGGCGTAAACTTGAAGTAGCCGAAGCTCGGAGCAATCCCACCCGCCATCACCTGGGTCGCCGACATCGGCGACAATCCGCTTCGTCGTCCTCCGACGTCGCCCTGCGAGGAGCCTGCAGCCGCCGACGACTGCACCCCTCGTGCCTGAATGCCGCCGACTTCATCGGCGTGAATCACACCACGCTGCCTCGACATGCCTCCCGCACTGCTGCCGACTTGGCCACCTCCGGCATTGACGCCCACGTCGACGCCACCTTCGTTGGTCACCGGTCGAGGAGAAGCTGGTCGAGAAGGGGGATGCTCCGTCGCCCACATGGTGCGGAGTCCAGCCTCGACGACCGCCCAGGGTATCGCCCCATACTCCTGGGCCTCATGGCGTCTCCTCGCATCCTCCAGCCATCCCTCCAGGGTGTCCATCACCTCTGTGTCACCTACGCGCATGCTAGGGACAGTACGACTGCTGGCCTACAAACAACTTAGGTAAGTGACCACTATGTCGACCTGACTGAAAGGTAAGTCGTGTGCCGTCCACGCTCATCGCACCATGCGGAGATAACTACTACAACAGGAGCTAGATTACGGGCTAGGCACGGGTGCTTGTATGATCTCTGCGTTCGTTGGGCCTTAGTCGTTTCTTAGTGATCACACTGCTTGCTAGTTCACGGGGCAAATTGGCAACAGTTTCACTAGAGAAAGTTGACAACAATGGTCCAAAGAAGCTGGCATGGCAAGACTACATCAGAGCTAGCATTTAGGTCGGTCGACTGCCAGTGCAGCATGGTCGACCGCGTTCCAGCACGACTTGGTCGACCGCGCTCTAGCAGTGCAAAGTCGACGGCGTGCCAACGTCGCAGGTTGACGGCGTGCCAGCATTGCTCCCGCAGAACAGCAGCGCACCCGCTTCGCAGGTGCTCGCAGATGATTGGCGGGCTGAGCCTCGTCACCTGCACAACGCACACACCAAGTCATCCTCGTGGTGACGACTCCACCTGATCCGCCATGTCGACCTCGGGATACCACCACCGGGGTCGGACTCGCCAACTTCGCCTGGGCGACCGTCGCACTCCTCTGCAGAACCTTGTCACCCAGGTAACATGGCTCGTATTGGCATAGCATGGCTCACATTGGCATGGTATGGCTCACGTTGGCATGTAATGGCTCACATTGGCATGTAATGGCTCACGTTGGCATGCTATGGCTCACGTTGGCATGGTATGGCTCACATTGGCATGGCATGGGCCGCGTCACTGCAGAGTTAGAGGGGGATGGCACCCATGGATTGCAACCGGCATGACAGGACATGCATTGGTGACACGCTTTGGACAACATGGATGGGCCACAAGGAAATGACATAACATGCAGCTGACCTTGCAAGCTCGCATGCATTAGCTGACAGGCTCGCACCCATGCCGGTGATGGGCAGTGCTGAGTGATCGGGGAGAGGGTCGCCTTGACTCATGTTGTAAGGCCGAAGTCGTGATCGGGGAGAGGTAGGCCAAAGTTGAAAGGATGCTTGATGACCGAAGGAGGGCGAAGGGTGTGTTGAAGCAGTGGAGCTGAGGCAGCATGTATGTGCTGTTCACCACACATGCCTGTGCTGCCACGTGGCCATACAGCACCTGTTGGCGCACCTGTGGAAGCACAAGCCCAGGCAACTCACATGCTCACACCTGTGCTGTGCACATGCTCACACCTGTGCTGTGCACATGCTCACACCTGTGCTGTGCACATGCTCACACCTGTGCTGTGCACACGCACGCACACGGACAGGGCAGCTCACAAACGTCGTCGTGGCATGCCCCAACAGGACAGCACAAACACGCCCTTCCACTCATGACGAGGTGGCTGCAGGGATTTTGAACACACCCCGAAACCATGAAGCAGAGGGTGGCACAAGGTGACAATGCATGGCATGGCGTGGTCAGAGGGAGACGAGTTGGCCCACCTGCGAGCAACAGAGATTGCAAATGGCATGGAATGATGCACTCCAGCTAAAATGAATCGGCTGGCCGAAATGCATTAGTACATCCACTATAATAATGCATCCCACCAAAGGTCATTCCGTATCCCATCAAGCCTCAAACTGGCATATGATGCACCGTTTGTCAGAACACGTGGTGGTGGGTGATGGTGATGAGCAGGAGGGAGAGCATGGCACGGGCAGGCACGGTGTGCGGTGTGAGAGTGGGCCCTCGAGTGAGACTGGGCCCTCGAGTGAGACTGGGCCCTCGAGTGAGACTGGGCCCTCGAGTGAGACTGGGCCCTCGAGTGAGAGCACGGCAGAGACGGCGAGCACAGCATGCTGATGCATGTGAGGGGCATGGCCGAGGAGCCTGGAAGGCCGGGGGATGGCCCATGGCAGGCGGCAGAGACGGGAGGTGTGGGAGTGGGACCTCAAGGTACCACATGTGCATGGCATGGCAGGCATGCAGTGGAAAGGTTGTGGGAGGAGAGATGGGTGGTGAGGGCACGGGCAGGTGGCTGGGGTAAGTCCGTGGCTGGGGTAAGTCCGTGGCTGGGGTAAGTCCGTGGCTGGGGTAAGTCCGTGGCAGCCAATGCGTGAGGGAGTAGCGCAGGGAGGAGGCATTGGCAGAGAAAGAAAATGTCATGCAAAAATGGGTATACGTCGTTGGCAGGACAACTTGCGATACCAAATTGACTGGTAAAGGTAACAACAGGAGGATTGGTGGAGAACCGCATGACAAGCTGATTCAACATAATTATTACTTCTCTGCTATTTTGGAAAATACCAGTAGGAATAATGGAAATGGGGTTATGGGAATGTAGGCATGCAATCATGAAATTAGAATCAAATACCGTATTCTCCCTGATAAAACATCCCCCCGTAATTGTACACCCCCGGGTAGCTAATACGGGGTGGGTGTTATATCCGACCCCGTTAGTACTATACCCCCCCTTTTGGGGTGATTCTCTATAAGACCCGGGGATGGGTGTTATGCGCGGGAAAAAATGCAAATTCATTAAATTTCACACAGTTAGGGGTACATTCTACTACGGAAGTATGGCAAACAGCACCTACACCCATCATTTACTCAGAAACAGCACTAACATCACTTCCTAACTCTGTCTTTGCTCTATGGTGCTTCTCCTTGTCCTGCCTACTCCTCCTCCACATCGGCCCCTGCGTTCCACTCTTCACACTCCTCTCCGTCGTAGCGGCCAGGGCGCCACCAGTCATCATCGTCATCGTTGCACTCTCCCGCCTCACCACCTTCTTCAGGCGCGTTCCACTCCTCCTCTACCGCCTCCGCTGCCTCCTTTGCAGCGTCATCCTCCTCTGTCGCCTACAGCTCCTCGAACGGCACGGGGGCCTCGGCGTAGAACGGGTTGACGACGACCTCGTCATCGACGAGGTCGTTGACGTTGTCAAGGACCTCCACCTCACCCTTGTCCCGCATGTGGGTGAATTTCCCTGTGAAAGAAGGAGTGAAATTGTATCTCATTGCAAAACAAGACATTCCCCAGGTCCCAGGTCACCCCATACCCCATGAGCAATACCCCAGGTCACCCCATACCCCATGAGCAATACCCCAGGTCACCCCATACCCCATGAGCAATACCCCAGGTCACCCCATACCCCATGAGCAATACCCCAGGTCACCCCATACCCCATGAGCAATACCCCAGGTCACCCCATACCCCATGAGCAATACCCCAGGTCACCCCATACTCCCACGAGCAATACCCCAGGTCACACCATACCCAATGAGCAATACCCCAGGTCACCCCATACCCCATGAGTAATACCCCAGGTCACCCCATACCCCCACGAGCAATAACCCAGGTCACCCCATACCCCATGCGCAATACCCCAGGTCACCCCATACCCCATGAGCAATACCCCAGGTCACCCTATACCCCATGAGCAATACCCCAGGTCACTCCATACCCCATGAGCAATACCCCAGCTCACCCCATACCCCATGAGCAATACCCCAGGTCACCCCATACTCCATGAGCAATACCCCAGGTCACCCCATACTCCCATGAGCAATACCCCAGGTCACCCCATACCCCATGAGCAATACCCCAGGTCACCCCATACTCCCACGAGCAATACCCCAGGTCACCCCATACCCAATGAGCTATACCCCAGGACACCCCATACCCCATGAGCAATACCCCAGGTCACCCCATACCCCATGAGCAATAACCCAGGTCACCCTATACCCCATGAGCAATACCCCAGGTCACCCCATACCCCCACGAGCAATACCCCAGGTCACCCCATACCCCCACGAGAAATACCCCAGGTCACCCCATACTCCCATGAGCAATACCCCAGGTATCCCCATACCCCATGAGCAATACCCCAGGTCACCCCATACTCCCACGAGCAATACCCCAGGTCACCCCATACCCCATGAGCAATACCCCAGGTCACCCCATACCCCATGAGCAATACCATAGGTTTCCCCATACCCCATGAGCAATACCCCAGGTCACCCCATACCCCGTGAGCAAAACCCCAGGTCACCCCATACCCCATGCGCAATACCCCAGCTCACCCCATACCCCATGAGCAATACCCCAGGTCACCCCATACTCCCACGAGCAATACCCCAGGTCACCCCATACCCCATGAGCAATACCCCAGGTCACCCCATACCCCATGAGCAATACCCCAGGTCACCCCATACTCCCATGAGCAATACCCCAGATCACCCCATACCCCATGAGCAATACCCAAGGTCACCCCATACTCCCACGAGGAATACCCCAGGTCACCCCATACCCAATGAGCAATACCCCAGGTCACCCCATACCCCATGAGCAATACCCCAGGTCACCCCATACCCCATGCGCAATACCCCAGGTCACCCCATACCCCATGAGCAATACCCCAGGTCACCCCATACTCCCACGAGCAATACCCCAGGTCACCCCATACCCCATGAGCAATACCCCAGGTCACCCCATACCCCATAAGCAATACCCCAGGTCACCCCATACCCCATGAGCAATACCCCAGGTCACCCCATACTCCCACGAGCAATACCCCAGGTCACCCCATACCCCATGAGCAATACCCCAGGTCACCCCATACCCCATGAGCAATACCCCAGGTCACCCCATACCCCATGCGCAATACCCCAGGTCACCCCATACCCCATGAGCAATACCCCAGGTCACCCCATACTCCCACGCGCAATACCCCAGGTCACCCCATACCCCATGAGCAATACCCCAGGTCACCCCAGACCCCATGAGCAATACCCCAGGTCACCCCATACCCCATGAGCAATACCCCAGGTCACCCCATACCCCATGAGCAATACCCCAGGTCACCCCATACCCCATGAGCAATACCCCAGGTCACCCCATACCCCATGCGCAATACCCCAGGTCACCCCATACCCCATGAGCAATACCCCAGGTCACCCCATACTCCCACGCGCAATACCCCAGGTCACCCCATACCCCATGAGCAATACCCCAGGTCACCCCAGACCCCATGAGCAATACCCCAGGTCACCCCATACCCCATGAGCAATACCCCAGGTCACCCCATACCCCATGAGCAATACCCCAGGTCACCCCATACCCCATGAGCAATACCCCAGGTCACCCCATACTCCCACGAGCAATACCCCAGGTCACCCCATACCCCATGAGCAATACCCCAGGTCACCCCATACCCCATGCGCAATACCCCAGGTCACCCCATACCCCATGCGCAATACCCCAGGTCACCCCATACTCCCACGAGCAATACCCCAGGTCACCCCATACCCCATGCGCAATACCCCAGGTCACCCCATACCCCATGAGTAATACCCCAGGTCACCCCATACCCCACGAGCAATACCCCAGGTCACCCCATACCCCATGAACAATACCCCAGGTCACCCCATACCCCATGAGCAATACCCCAGGTCACCCCATACCCCACGAACAATACCCCAGGTCACCCCATACCCCATGAGCAATACCCCAGGTCACCCCATACCCCATGAGCAATACCCCAGGTCACCCCATACCCCATGAGCAATACCCCAGGTCACCCCATACCCCATGAGCAATACCCCAGGTCACCCCATACCCCATGCGCAATACCCCAGGTCACCCCATACCCCATGAGCAATACCCCAGGTCACCCTATACCCCATGAGCAATACCCCAGGTCACCCCATACCCCATGAGCAATACCCCAGGTCACCCCATACTCCCACGAGCAATACCCCAGGTCAACCCATACCCAATGAGCAATACCCCAGGTCACCCCATACCCCATGAGCAATACCCCAGGTCACCCCATACCCCATGAGCAATACCCCAGGTCACCCCATACCCCATGAGCAATACCCCAGGTCACCCCATACTCCCACGAGCAATACCCCAGGTCAACCCATACCCAATGAGCAATACCCCAGGTCACCCCATACCCCATGCGCAATACCCCAGGTCACCCCATACCCCATGAGCAATGACCCAGGTCATCCCATACTCCCACGAGCAATACCCCAGGTCAACCCATACCCAATGAGCAATACCCCAGGTCACCCCATACCCCATGAGCAATACCTCAGGTCACCCCATACCCCATGAGCAATTCCCCAGGTCACCCCATACCCCATGAGCGATACCCCAGGTCACCCCATACCCCATGAGCAATACCCCAGGTCATCCCATACCCCCACGAGCAATAACCCAGGTCACCCCATACCCCATGAGCAATACCCCAGGTCACCCCATACCCAATGAGCAATACCCCAGGTCAACCCATACCCCATGAGCAATTCCCCAGGTCACCCCATACCCCATGAGCGATACCCCAGGTCACCCCATACCCCATGCGCAATAGCCCAGGTCACCCCATACTCCCACGAGCAATACCCCAGGTCACCCCATACTCCCACGAGCAATACCCCAGGTCACCCCATACCCCATGAGCAATACCCCAGGTCACCCCATACCCCATGAGCAATACCCCAGGTCACCCCATACCCCATGCGCAATACCCCACGTCACCCCATACCCCATGAGCAATACCCCAGGTCACCCCATACTCCCACGAGCAATACCCCAGGTCACCCCATACCCCATGAACAATACCCCAGGTCACCCCATACCCCATGAGCAATACCCCAGGTCACCCTATACCCCATGAGAAATACCCCAGGTCACCCCATACCCCCACGAGAAATACCCCAGGTCACCCCATACTCCCACGAGCAATACCCCAGGTCACCCCATACCCCATGAGCAATACCCCAGGTCACCCCATACTCCCACGAGCAATACCCCAGGTCACCCCATCCCCCATGCGCAATACCCCAGGTCACCCCATACCCCATGCGCAATACCCCAGCTCACCCCATACCCCATGAGCAATACCCCAGGTCACCCCATACTCCCACGAGCAATACCCCAGGTCACCCCATACCCCATGAGCAATACCCCAGGTCACCCCATACCCCATGAGCAACACCCCAGGTCACCCCATACTCCCATGAGCAATACCCCAGATCACCCCATACCCCATGAGCAATACCCCAGGTCACCCCATACTCCCACGAGGAATACCCCAGGTCACCCCATACCCAATGAGCAATACCCCAGGTCACCCCATACCACATGAGCAATACCCCAGGTCACCCCATACCCCATGCGCAATACCCCAGGTCACCCCATACCCCATGAGCAATACCCCAGGTCACCCCATACTCCCACGAGCAATACCCCAGGTCACCCCATACCCCATGAGCAATACCCCAGGTCACCCCATACCCCATGAGCAATACCCCAGGTCACCCCATACCCCATGAGCAATACCCCAGGTCACCCCATACTCCCACGAGCAATACCCCAGGTCACCCCATACCCCATGAGCAATACCCCAGGTCACCCCATACCCCATGAGCAATACCCCAGGTCACCCCATACCCCATGCGCAATACCCCAGGTCACCCCATACCCCATGAGCAATACCCCAGGTCACCCCATACTCCCACGCGCAATACCCCAGGTCACCCCATACCCCATGAGCAATACCCCAGGTCACCCCAGACCCCATGAGCAATACCCCAGGTCACCCCATACCCCATGAGCAATACCCCAGGTCACCCCATACACCATGAGCAATACCCCAGGTCACCCCATACCCCATGAGCAATACCCCAGGTCACCCCATACTCCCACGAGCAATACCCCAGGTCACCCCATACCCCATGAGCAATACCCCAGGTCACCCCATACCCCATGCGCAATACCCCAGGTCACCCCATACCCCATGCGCAATACCCCAGGTCACCCCATACTCCCACGAGCAATACCCCAGGTCACCCCATACCCCATGCGCAATACCCCAGGTCACCCCATACCCCATGAGTAATACCCCAGGTCACCCCATACCCCACGAGCAATACCCCAGGTCACCCCATACCCCATGAACAATACCCCAGGTCACCCCATACCCCATGAGCAATACCCCAGGTCACCCCATACCCCACGAACAATACCCCAGGTCACCCCATACCCCATGAGCAATACCCCAGGTCACCCCATACCCCATGAGCAATACCCCAGGTCACCCCATACCCCATGAGCAATACCCCAGGTCACCCCATACTCCCACGAGCAATACCCCAGGTCACCCCATACCCCATGAGCAATACCCCAGGTCACCCCATACCCCATGCGCAATACCCCAGGTCACCCCATACCCCATGCGCAATACCCCAGGTCACCCCATACCCCATGAGTAATACCCCAGGTCACCCCATACCCCATGCGCAATACCCCAGGTCACCCCATACCCCATGAGCAATACCCCAGGTCACCCTATACCCCATGAGCAATACCCCAGGTCACCCCATACCCCATGAGCAATACCCCAGGTCACCCCATACTCCCACGAGCAATACCCCAGGTCAACCCATACCCAATGAGCAATACCCCAGGTCACCCCATACCCCATGAGCAATACCGCAGGTCACCCCATACCCCATGAGCACTTCCCCAGGTCACCCCATACCCCATGAGCGATACCCCAGGTCACCCCATACCCCATGAGCAATACCCCAGGTCATCCCATACCCCCACGAGCAATAACCCAGGTCACCCCATACCCCATGAGCAATACCCCAGGTCACCCCATACTCCCAAGAGCAATACCCCAGGTCAACCCATACCCAATGAGCAATACCCCAGGTCACCCCATACCCCATGCGCAATACCCCAGGTCACCCCATACCCCATGAGCAATAACCCAGGTCATCCCATACTCCCACGAGCAATACCCCAGGTCAACCCATACCCAATGAGCAATACCCCAGGTCACCCCATACCCCATGAGCAATACCGCAGGTCACCCCATACCCCATGAGCAATTCCCCAGGTCACCCCATACCCCATGAGCGATACCCCAGGTCACCCCATACCCCATGCGCAATAGCCCAGGTCACCCCATACTCCCACGAGCAATACCCCAGGTCACCCCATACTCCCACGAGCAATACCCCAGGTCACCCCATACCCCATGAGCAATACCCCAGGTCACCCCATACCCCATGAGCAATACCCCAGGTCACCCCATACCCCATGCGCAATACCCCACGTCACCCCATACCCCATGAGCAATACCCCAGGTCACCCCATACTCCCACGAGCAATACCCCAGGTCACCCCATACCCCATGAACAATACCCCAGGTCACCCCATACCCCATGAGCAATACCCCAGGTCACCCTATACCCCATGAGAAATACCCCAGGTCACCCCATACCCCCACGAGAAATACCCCAGGTCACCCCATGCTCCCACGAGCAATATCCCAGGTCACCCCATACCCCATGAGCAATACCCCAGGTCACCCCATACTCCCACGAGCAATACCCCAGGTCACCCCATCCCCCATGCGCAATACCCCAGGTCACCCCATACCCCATGAGCAATACCCCAGGTCACCCCATACCTCATGAGCAATACCCCAGGTCACCTCATACTCCCACGAGCAATACCCCAGGTCACCCCATACTCCCACGAGCAATACCCCAGGTCACCCCATACCCAATGAGCAATACCCCAGGTCACCCCATACCCCATGCGCAATACCCCAGGTCACCCCATACCCCATGAGCAATACCCCAGGTCACCCTATACCCCATGAGCAATACCCCAGGTCACCCCATACCCCCACGAGCAATAACCCAGGTCACCCCATACCCCATGAGCAATACCCCAGGTCACCCCATACCCCATGAGCAATAACGCAGGTCACCCCATACCCGATGAGCAATTCCCCAGGGCACCCCATACCCCATGAGCGATACCCCAGGTCACCCCATACCCCATGAGCAATACCCTAGGTCACCCCATACCCCATGAGCAATACCCCAGGTCACCCCTTACTCCCACGAGCAATACCCCAGGTCACCCCATACCCCATGAGCAATACCCCAGGTCACCCCATACCCCATGAGCAATACCCCAGGTCACCCCATACCCCATGAGCAATACCCCAGGTCGCCCCATACCCCTTGAGCAATACCCCAGGTCACCCCATACCCCCATGAGCAATACCCCAGGTCACCCCATACCCCATGAGCAATACCCCAGGTCACCCCATACCCCATGAGCAATACCCCAGGTCACCCCATACTCCCACGAGCAATACCCCAGGTCACCCCATACCCCATGAGCAATACCCCAGGTCACCCCATACCCCATGAGCAATACCCCAGGTCACCCCATACCCCATGAGCAATACCCCAGGTCGCCCCATCCCCCTTGAGCAATACCCCAGGTCACCCTATACCCCCATGAGCAATACCCCAGGTCATCCCATACCCCATGAGCAATACCCCAGGTCACCCCATACCCCCATGAGCAATACCCCAGGTCACCCCATACCCCATGAGCAATACCCCAGGTCACCCCATACCCCATGAGCAATACCTCAGGTCACCCCATACCCCCACGAGCAATACCCCAGGTCACCCCATACCCCCACGAGCAATTACCCAGGTCACCCCATACCCCATGAGCAATACCCCATGTCACCCCATACCCCATGAGCAATACCCCAGGTCACCCCATACCCCATGAGCAATACCCCAGGTCGCCCCATACCCCTTGAGCAATACCCCAGGTCACCCCATACCCCCATGAGCAATACCCCAGGTCATCCCATACCCCATGAGCAATACCCCAGGTCACCCCATACCCCCATGAGCAATACCCCAGGTCACCCCATACCCCACGAGCAATACCCCAGGTCACCCCATACCCCATGAGCAATACCTCAGGTCACCCCATACCCCCACGAGCAATACCCCAGGTCACCCCATACCCCCACGAGCAATAAACCAGGTCACCCCATACCCCATGAGCAATACCCCATGTCACCCCATACCCCATGAGCAATACCCCAGGTCACCCCATACCCCCATGAGGAATACCCCAGGTCACCCCATACCCGATGAGCAATACCCCAGGTCACCCCATACCCCATGAGCAATACCTCAGGTCACCCCATACCCCCACGAGCAATACCCCAGGTCATCCCATACCCCATGTGCAATACCCCAGGTCATCCTGCAGCATGGGTGGGGCATGAGGGGGGGATGGGGGTGGGTGGGTGGAAGGGCCAGAGATGACTTATGGCAGTCGACAGGGATGATAGGAATAGCCTTATTCCATCTCAGCTGTCACGTCAAAAGTTTATGCTCCGGTAAAATAATACTGACGCATCTGGTGCCAGCCAAGCCAAGCCTGATGATTAGCATCATCATTTGTGGCCAAGTTTACGCCCTGATCCTTACAAAATCCAAAGCTATTGGTGTTGCTGCTACCTCCGAATCACAGCACATCATTCGCTGGGTGAGTTACCCTGGACAGTAAGAATTAGTATCTGGGGCAAGGAATAGGCCAGAAGACCCAGAAGAGTATTCGCCAGGGTTTAGGGTTCAAAATCCTTGAGGAACTTGATAAGTTGCCTCTAAACTGTTAGGCAGACCCACAAACCCGAAACCCCACTGGCAACACGGGAAAAAACTCTGTAACGTATTTTAAATCATAAAAAAATAGCCTAAGAATTTACAGTGTAGAAGCATGGCGAGGTCAGCCGACCTACAATACAGAGCACAGCTTTCGTGTGCCCAAATCAGCCCACCTAAAGAACCCACAAATCAAGCCCACCATACACCACGGAGTGAGTCTTGTTAATTGAGGGGCTCCATGGAGAAGTCCTCGACGGGGCTCAGCTGCTTGGCGCGGTGGTACTCGGTTTGCGCGCAGTCCACGGACAGCACGGAGCTCGACTCGTACAGTCGGGGAGTGCCGTCCAGGAACCCAGCGCCCTCCGCGCTGTCAGCCGACACCGGCCGGTGCAGGTTCGCGATCAGCCGCTGGAAGTCGGCGGCGCGAGCAGCGTGGTCCGGGCGGTACGTCTGGCCGAGCACGCCGTGCACGTCGTCGGTGTGCTCCAGCTCCACGATCCCCACGTTGATGTGCGCCTCCGCGTCGTTGGGCGTCTGCAGCTTGGGGTTGGCGACGCGCAGGCGCAGGTCGAGCGCCACGAGCCCGTCGATGGTGAGCGTGTAGTAGTCCACGTCATACGGGCCCTCCTTCTCCAGAGCCGCGAACCGCACAGTCAGACCGCCCTCGGTAGTCACCTCGTCGCCCACGCTCATCCTCGGGATCTCCTCACCGTCGATCTCGATCGTCTTCATGAATCCATCACCGCGCTCCTGCTGCTTGCCGCCGCGCGCCGCCAGACGCACCTTGTGGTCGGCGCCGTTGGCGAACCAGATGATGCCCAGCTCCTTGATCCACGTGTGCACGGCCTTGCCGTCAACCACGAGCGCCGCGTTCTCCGTGTCGTCCGAGTAGTACCCGCGCAGCAGCATGTTCACGTGCAGGTCCTTGTCCGTCAGCAGGCAGAACGCCTTGTCGGGCCGCCCGTTGAAGTCGAAGTGCGTCCCGTACGCGCCCACCAGATGCGGGTCGTTCACCACGTTAGCCGCGGGGTTGCACTCGCCGCCCGTGCGCACCTGCAGCGCGACTGGCTTCGAGTCAGTCGCGTACTGCGCCGTCAGCTCGCCACACGAGTAGTCGATGTTGTCGTGCACCAGGTAGCACGCGCCGTCCGACTTCTTGCCGTCGATCGTGATGTCGGGAATGTACTGCCAGTACGTGCAGCTGCTGTACCCCGCGCACGTGTTGCAGCACGTCTGCGGGGACGCCTTCTTGAGCGTCAGCGGGTTGCCCTTCACGTACACCTCCACGCCCAGCTTGTTCTTGAGCAGGTTCGACGTCTTCCACTTGGCGGCGATGCCGCCCTTGCTGCAGTTGGCGGGCGTGCACGCGCCGTCCCCGGGCTTGCCCAGGTCC